AAATGGCCGTCAAAGTTTGAGTGGATCAACCAGTACTTCTTCAGCAAGAACTAAGACCAGGCCAGCATGGGGACAGTGAATACATAGAGATAAAAGCCAGACAACTGCCATAAGAATTTCAAAGCAAACAATGGGTCTTAACTGATCAACCCTCACATCCCTTCTTGACACCTGAGGACACCTGATAGGATGACAGTGAGGATGTATTTCATAAGGACTGGTAAAGGGAGTCATATTGGTATTGTGAAGGATCTGTGTACTACAATTGCTATATTAATTATAATATTATGTTTTTGTGTTTTCAGTATACTTTATATCACTCTAAACCAGAAATGCCATGACATGAACCATCTTCAATTAAGTAAATCTGGTATTAAACATGACACCCTCCATCCATGGGATATTTCCAAAAGCCTTGTCAAGCATTGGACTGTCACAAAGGGGGTCGAAGAAGGCACCTAGAAAGTCTGTCCTTTAAATAGCTCCATTCCTGGTCCATGTTCTCTCTATCAAAGTCTGTCCTAGTTCTCAAGGCTGATAAAGATTCCAGAGAGGCCAAGCAGCCACTGGTGTTTTTGATCCCTCAACCCAGCATGTGCTGCATAAAAGCAGAGCAGTAGATGAAAAGCTCTTCTGTGTCACTAGCACCTCCAACTCCCTGCTCTTCCAACCATGCCAGTTGCTGCAGCTCAGTTACAGCACTAACAGGATAAAGTGGCAAACTCCAAAGTCCTTGTACCCTGACAGCACAATGGAAACAGACCCTTGGCATCACCTATTACTAATGCAAGAAACTCCAAAGTGAGAATGATGCCAGTAGCAGGAGGGTAAATAATGAAACATCACTTACCCTTGTGAGCTTGCTTTTGTCTCTGTCAGTGCCTGGATGCCATTCTTTTAAGATAGCAGAATAACTCCATTGTTTTCTGCTCAGTGGATGGGCTCAAACTCTTAATTATCACTCCTTCAAATACAGCTTTTCTCTAGACATCCTTGTATTTCTCCCTGAGTTCATGTTTTGCTAAACTAGATTGATCTTTCACCATTCTTCCCAAAATGGCATGCTCACTGGACTGAATTTCTAGTCAGTACTTAAACACATTATATTTGTCCTGCTTTCATGCTTCTAGATGCTTTTTGTCCATCTCTTTACACCAGCATCATATCTATTTTAAAGTCAACTACTATTTAATGTTGATTTTTTGGAATTCTATCCCTTCCTCCCACTGATCAGATCTTTCTAGCCTCTGGTCTTCTTTGACTCTGGTGGCAGTTTCATTGGGTTTTTCTTTTCCCACAATAGCCTCTAAGGTTCCAAGTCTTTGCTAGAGCTAGGAAAAACTCTGCAAAGAAGCATTCAATCCATAAGCAACAGAAAAATAACCAAACAACTAACAAGTAGAGAATTCCTGGATCAGAATGTGTGGCTTATTATTCTCTTCTGGCATGAGAAAAAAAAATTGCACCTTGCTGTAATTTTTATGTTTTAGCATAACTATCCTGCTAATTCCAGTACACAAAATTCAGTATTTTTCATTCAAACAGTAACTACTGTACAAACTTCAACAGAAGAACTATTGCTACAAGCAAGCAACAGCTTATTGAGTCCTGTTAACTAGCTGTAAAACATTGTAGAGACAACAGAACACAGATTATGAACAGTCACACTAGTTAGTTTTACTAGTAACTAGTTTTGCTACCTAAGCAGGAACAGCAGAAACTTAATTAAATTTATTTAGCACTGGTTCATCTCCAACAGTCATTAAATGTGATGCAGTAGTTGTATCTTCAGTGCAGCCTCAGATATCTGCAACACTTTTATCACAAATTCAAAAAGGCATTTGTTGAAAAATAAATTAAAAAAAAAGAGAAATAAAAAGCTGCTGAAGATAAAATGTAATTCAAATTAAATTCTAAGTAACACAGCCAAAGTGTAACAGTTGTTGCTTCCTCTAAAGACTGAAGGCTGCCCCCCCCTCCAAGCACAAACTGTTCAGTACTTGCTCAGCGTATGCTACTCAAAAAGCTCTGATTTCATGCCTAATATTCAGTGATTGAAATGTATTTTTTATGCAAAGAATCATTTTTCACATTCAATTATTGATCCACTGATAATGAGTCAGCATTGCATTACTTCAGCACTGCATGTATGTATATATATATACACACACACACACATATATATGCGTGTTTGTATATACACACATATATTCAGTTTTTCATATGAACATGTGTGTATGTGCCTGTGACAGCTCTGGAAAAAAAAATGAAAAATTATGTGAAAATTGTATAAGATTATTCTTAATGGCAACCAGCTACTAAAAGCATACTAGAGGTACAGATTTTGAGTTTGGGCCCAAAGCACACCTTTACCCCAAGGCCTGTTTTCATACAAAAAAAGTGTAACCAGCTGAAAGCTCATTTCTTATGGGCTCAAATGCCCAATATTCCCATTTGTCAATTCAGGGTTTTTACTTCTGAGTCTCTTAATTCATTCTTTGGTATTCTTATCTTAAGCACAGATATTTCTGTCCTCTTTCTTCTAAAGGCACTTTTATATTAATATATGCTTGCCAATCCTAAACTGTAGTACTGAATATGATTCAACTGAACAACATCATATCAACACTATCATATGTAAATGACAGTCATGAAGAGAGGTGAATTCCTCTCTTTGCAAACTTACTGCAACTTAACATGAATCTAAAACTTAAACCTGAAATGCAGCAGTTTTTCCTAGGCCACTCACTACATTAGTCCAAAGAATAGCTGGTAGCAGTGCATTAAAGAATAACATGACTAAGACCTGCAACACAATTTAATCCCTTCTTAATATGCATGCCATGTTCTACTAGTGTTTGTGTATATATTTACACCTGCTGCCAACTGCTTTACATGAAGGAGTAAAGCTACACAAAGAGTGACAGCAGCAAATCTGTGCTTAACAGACACAGCTATTTTGGTAGCCTAAATATGACAGATGACTGAGATTTACAGTTCTGTTATCACAGCTAGGCAAAGAAATTGCATCACTGTCATCACTTACAATTAATAATTTCTTTTCTATACTTGGTAGAGAAACTCTTAAGCCATATTCAAGTCTGACAAACTGAAAAATAAAATTGTCACACATAGATGCTCTAACTGGTTGAAGCAGTAATCAATTACACTAAATCTCATTCTCACAAAGTTTTGGATTGGATGGTTGTATTTTTTGTTTTAGGTTGGTTGGTTTGTTCTGTTTTTAATTAAACAGTTTTGTAACTAGCCTTTTTTTCCTTTTAACCAGGAATTTACAATCTGCTAACCAAAAGCGAATTATGCACATACATTCTCACAAGTCATTTAAAGCATTCCCCAAGGTACCTATTTGTCATTCCGTTTTGAAAGGCAGATCAAAGTTAGAGGAATAAACAGTAACTTTGCAACAGCAGGAAGGAAATTGAAAAATAAAACAGAGAACAGTCTCAGAGAACAGTCAGACCTAAACTGAATGCCTCACAGCAGATTGAGCCCAGTAGCACAGCACAGCAAAGATTTAATTTTTAGTAGAAAAAGGGAGGGTTACTTTTAAGTATATTAACACTTTCCTTAGCAAAAACAGGTCAGTAGAAGAGAAGGCTACATTCAAAACATGACAAATAGAAAGAAGCTCTTCACATTTCTATGCATACACTCACCCAAGCAAGTAAAAATATAAAAAAAAAATCATACACATTCTTCCCTGTCCAATGGGAAAATGGGAACAAGAAGGGAAGAACAAGCAAAATATTCCAAGAACCTCACAGACAAAATCACTTATATTCCACACTGATTAAATTGCCATTTTTGGCAGAAACACACAACACCTGTAAAAAGAGTAGCATCAAGTAAATCTTAAACTGCAGTGATTTCAAGTAACACCTTGTGACTACAAAGTGAAGGAGGTGTGCATTATTTCATCCCATTCAGTTACTCAAATAGCAGCAGCATGGGTTCCTCTAACACCAACACTTTGCTTTTGCACATTCTTCCTGCTGCAAGTCAGAGCACCTCTATGCCACTACAATTAACTTCTTGCAGAGTAAAAAATCTCACGTTATAGCACATTGTCATATAAGTAATTTAACAATGCAAAGAAATCCTTTGGGCTGAACTACTCTGCAGACCGTCTGTTTGGAGCATACAGAAATGAGTCTTTGTAGGATGACTACATCCTATTTGAGTAAAGCCTTATCAGTGAGAAAAGTCTTTTAAGATTGTGAGTACTCTTAGAAAAAAAAAAACATTTTTTCTTCTAAGTTTCATCCACTATTAACTCTCAAAGGAGACTGCTTAGAAGTGAGGCACAGAACTGGAAAATGTGGAAGGTTTATAATCATCTGCTTTCCCAGTAAATTTAAAGAACATGTTCAAGTTGAGCAGGCATTTGAAGATTCCTCTGAGGCTGACAGCTACTTCCAAGATGTCCAGTGTGCTTGTCCTCTCATTTCTTTCTGTCATCACCTCTGGCACCATTTTCTTGTTTCTCTCATATGACCCAGAATGGCTCTCAGAGTCCCCCTGGACAGGGAACAGAAAATCTGACTCAAGTATGTTAAAGCTGCAATGAAAGAACATTGCACTTCATCCCCAACATCACAAATTTTCTTGGTAAGGCATTTAACATTTTAGATTGTAGTTGCTCCTGCTAAAATTAAAAACTTCCTTAATAATTTAGTTCTCTCTTTAGATTCAAATCCTTATTTTACCTAATCTTCAAAGTAATTGCAGACTGTATCTTGCCACTTAAGTAGGACTTAGGGTTAAGTGTCAGTTCAAAGCACCTATGCTGCCTTGATTTTAAAGATCACTTCCACTTAGAGAGATGTTCTCTTTTTCTGGTGAGTACAGATTGCTGTTGAGTGTTTGGGTTTTTTGCCCCCACTTTTTTCCCCCAGACTACATCCAAATAGCAAAAGCTTCCACCTACCACTCTGACTTATTAAAATAATACCTCAAACCCAAGCCAATGTGCACTTTCCTTTATTTGTAAAACTCTGAAGAACTGCAACTGTCTGAAATACACACTTCACCCAAAGGAAACAACTTTTAAATGTACAGTGAAATTGAGTCCCAATTGTGGATTGTGTTGTACAGTTTACATTTCACATGGTGTCATAGAGAACTTGATATAATCTCTATATATACATTTTTAAATACTCTTCCCTTTAACTTCACTTGAAGCCTAGTAGGGAAGTACTGTAAGCCTTCCCATAGATTTCATAAATGGAGGCACACATTGGAGCCTGTGCAGGATCCCAGTCCACCCATATTTCCAGAACCCAACTCTATTAGCAGACAGCTGCAATCATTCCACATCAAACACCCAAACAACTTCCAAGAAGGAAACTGGCTTCCTTAATCCACACCAGCATAGAACTGGTCTCTTCACCGTTACAAAGCAACTTTGAGATACCACCGTTCACGATGGGTCTTCAAGCTAACGCTGGAAAATCCTCAGGATCATCAGGATTTGGAGCAACAAGCTGCACCTAGAACGGAAGAAAGGTCTTCTAAAAATGAATGCATTTCGAAAGTATCTGACAGCTATATATACATATTTTACCCTCAAAAGGGTTCATTCTTCTACTCAAATGCTACTACAACTAAATGCTACTTCTACTCAAATTGTATCCATCACTATCACAAGGCTTTCATAGAACTTGTGTCTACTATAATTTATTTTCAGTGTGAATGTTTTTATAATGCTCCCTGGTGAGGACCAGAAAGTCACAAGTTCTGCAGCACTGAATGAAGAAAAATTAGAGCAGTCTCAAGCAGAATACGGCATATTTTTAGAAGTAGAATTACTATATTTTTACGTTCTAGAACTATTGAACATATTGGGTTGTAGTTTTAATCTCTCCAATCTGTTACCATAAAGAACCTTTTTCTTCCAGTTGAAACAAATGCATTAACGCTTCTATATTATTCTGAAAGTTCCTGGTCTTAAATCATTTTAGTCACAGTAAAGTTTCTGTTACTATGAAGAATAAAGATACCATTTTCCAGTGTACAAATGCTTTTTTTTTTCCCCAAAGGAAAAGGTAAGCGGAAATTTTTTGTAATGGTTATATTAAACACATTAATTGTCCTGTAGGATCACATATTTACTGATCTCACTGTTAGTAAACAAAGTATTACTGTATCACAGAATTTTTTCAAAGAGATACAAGCCTTTAGTTATTTTAATTACTTCCCAATTTATATCAAAACTAATTGCATCCTTTCCTCTAGTTACCATTAGAGCATCTAATAATCAGACCTTTTGAAATGTATGTCTTAACAGTTGTGAGCCTGAATCAGTATTTAATTTCAAGTAACATAATATGGGCCAGGAACTCAATATGCAGAACAACATACTACAAGACAGGAATTAAAAACAAGTCTGTCACTACATAAATCAAAATTCCACACAGACAGGGGCAGGACACACACAAACACCATCAACAACAGTAAAAAAAACCAACCAAACAAAAAACCTCAATTGAACAACAACAGCACCATAAAATCCATTACCACTACTTCTGGTCGACGTCCTGTCTCTTCAGGTCTTCTGCCACGACCACCTCGTGCTCCTCTTGATCCACGGCCAGGGCGAGGAAGACTCCCAAAATTAATATCCAGCTGAGAAGTTATATCATTTACTGGTTTTCGAGAGACATGAGAATTGTCTTCAAAGTCTTCTTTTTGCAACTAAAGAGAAGATCTGGTTAAAGCCTACAGTTTTCCACATATGAACTTCTCCCCTCCCAGATACACATTCACGCTTATATTAGATGAACTAAGATAGCATCTGGAGTAGAAGACAGGCCTTAACTTGCACAGGATTTTAACACGGATGAGGTAATTGCAGCTTCCCAGATGTCTGGGATAGCTCTTTGTTGGCTCAGAGATTCCTGGTAACAAAAGCTTCTGTACCAACTCTGTAATAATGAAGAGGTTTGTCAGAAATATAAATCTATGAGGTTTTCAAAGAGACTAGAGCGTCAGACCTAAGCTACTTACTCCTACAGTTATGTCCAAATAATGGATAAAAGGCCATACCAAAGCTACTTAATCGATGTATTTATCCACATGCCTGCAGCTATGAGATTACTGTGGTTTTAACTGCATGTTCCTAATAGCTAGTGCATGTCAGACTATTGCCCAGCATAACTTTAATGGGGACTGTAGTAATGATAAAGTGTATATTAACTCATGCCTTACACTGATGAATCACTTATTCAGTGTCTAATTCAGGGATTTCACTTGCCTATGTTACACAGTTCCTGTACCTCCTGTTCTGAGTTCACTTTAACAATGTCTCTTGATACTACCAGAACAGAAACTTCATAGGCAAAAGGAACAGAAACTTGTATGTACTCCTCACACACCTGTCTCTTCGGACTTTGTGGAAGGTACTCTCCCCACCCCTACCTCTCAGAAAAGAAAGAGGGGATAAAGACAACTCTGACCTAAAAAGTCTCACTAAAAAGAAGGCACACTCAACCGTCTAAAGTGACTAAGCAAGTTTTGATACTAATATTATAACTAGAGAAAAGGTACATATTCATAAATGCATGTAGATGTCAAAGATCAAAGTTCCATTGTGCTAGACTGTAAGCACATACTTCTGTGATCCCATAAATCTGAAATCTAAGTAAGCTAGAATCTGAAAGAAGCTTCCCCTATCTCCTCAGAACTAGTAGTACTTCATGGAATTTCAATCTAAATAATATTATGGAGTAAAATTTACAGTAAATTGGAATGGGTGCACACTACAGCACCACAAGCTCTCCAGGGTTAGTTCTAAGAAGCAGAACTCAAAAAAACACACCCTAAAAATTCAAAATTCCTATCTCCAAGTGCACAATGAGATACATGCAAGTGTACACTGGCAAGTAGGCTAAACGGGATTCAAACCAAGGAAAAGAAGTGTATAATAAACCAAGTTTCAAACCAACTTTTTCTAGCAGCATTACTAGGGACCTATACAGGTCGCAGCAGCTGAGCCATAAGGTAGAACAACCTGATACTACGTTTGTGTAGAAAATAGAGGTGATGATGTGAGACAAAAAAATTGAACACATAATTTAAAGCCAGTTTGGGGACATATGCCATTGTAGTGATAAAGCTTAGACACTGTTTTCTTGCCTATTCAGATTATACTAAAGCTAGTAGAAAAAAAATAGAGACGTTTTCCTAACCCTGGGCATAAAGGAGGGTATACAGAATTCCTGAGGCAGTGCTTACATCTTCACTATATTTTGACTTGTGTATCACCACTGCTTTGGAAGGAACAGTGGATTCTGGCTTCCGGATGTTGAATTCAGGCTTTGGTCGATTCCGTTGCTGAAGATTTTTCCACTCATCTAATGTCATTTCTTGAACCACTTCTTCCATTGGCTCTCCTTCAGCAGCTCTAGAAGTTTACAGTTTTAGAGTAAAAAACATTAGCTTGCAACATTCCAGGATAAACAAGAACACTTATCTCCAAAGTAAGGATACTAAACAAAACACTTAGAAGGTTTCTCACCAAATTATTGTCAATTTCACTTAGTCCTCACAGTAACTTCATGTGATATTTTTACATTAACAATTTACATAAATTTAGAGTATATATTTATGTACTCTTTGAAATTAGTCATATGAACAAATGTTTTCTGCAGCTTCCTGTATTAGTACTCACCAGTCTCATCCTGAATTCAAGCACTCAGATTCTAGACAAAATCATTCTGCCTTTTGACCGGCATATTCTTAACCCTACAGTTTAATAGTGGATCTACCCCTAGTAAATATAGCCGCAGTAAAAAAAAAGTGCACACAGAGCAGTTTTAAAACACCCAAATTGTAGGATTTCATTGCCTTTTACTGCTCAATGACAATATGAGATTAATTCGTGTAGCTTTCAGTCATCAAAAAGGATCACTACATGACGATCATACCATGGGATGTTACAGGTAATTATTAACATTTCCTTTGTTAATTTCACAAGATGCTTCCTTGAATTTTTTTGTCAGATGTAACAGACAAGCAGACAGTATTTATCACTTGGCAAAACCAGATTAATCCTAATCAAGTATCATTTGTCAATAAGTACAATAATGATAAGTTGTAGAAAAACACACAGAATACATCAGAGGCTGCCTTGCATATTTTTGAACTGTAAAGACAGAGGTTTTATGTCTGTAAGACACAGAGATAAGACAAGACACACAGGCAAAAAAAAACTTCTCTTCCACTGATGATGCTTGAGTACTCTTCTGCCACTTTTCTGCTGCTGATCACAACAGGCCTGCCCAGGACAGCAGCTTTTAGAATACTACATTTTGCATTTAATGATACCTATAGAAAGATATTACCTACTAACCAGCATCACATACAGGGAGAGCACAACTTCCTACACCATTGTAATGGTCTGCTGCATAAACAAGTCAAATACCATGACTTGTACAGGAAAGACCACACTTATTACTCCAAGACGTTTGAGAAACCATTTCTCCTTACATAGAAAACTGTTACGAGTTACAATAGCAGTTGGAGTTGATTAAGTATTTCCCTAACAATGACTTTTCTAGGAAGCCCATTCATTAGAACCTGTCTTGTGGGAGAATGATTTATTTGATTTTCCGCATTCAGTCATAGTTCCACAGTCCTACCAAAAGATTGTAATTTCCCTAATGTAAATATACAGTTTATTAGGTGCAAGCTGGAACTTTTTTTTATCATGGAAAGAGTCAAATTACAATCAGTGACTGTGTGTACTTTGTTTTTAAATTTGTACAAGCAACCCATTGGAATACACACATATTTACACACATTTTTTGGGACTGTGCATTATAGAACTAGCCTATATGGGAACAGGCCTGGTCCTTCTTCTTCCCTGATTCTGCAGCAAAGCTTTCATATTTCTTGCCAGTCAAAATTAAACAGTATTTTTCTAAACACCCAGCATATGAATATGAGAAGCAGAATTGAACACTAAAGCAGCCCTTAATCTTAGTTCTAGGATTAACACAAGTTAGTTCTAAATTCACTTCACAGAAGAATAACAAATACAGAAGACCCGCACTACACGCCTGCCCCTCTGATACGCCCTTATGCCCTGTTGTTTTGAAAATTCTAGCTTTATCAGCCAGAAATCGAAAGTTAAAAGACTGGTAAGCAGACTGCAACTCCCGTCTCATTATAATGTGAAACTGTATCAGAAGGACTACTAGGGAAAAAATAGTTTACTGAGTTACATAAAAAGGATACTGGTGAAAGAAGCAGCTGCTTCTGGAAACACATCAGCAGATACTGTTGCACCTGTAAGAGCACTAAGAACGTATAGCACTAAAAACATTTCAATTTCTTGTCCTCAAGAGTAAAAAGCCAAATCACTTTTGATCAATTATCTGAAGCTTCAGTTTTGGGAATAAGTGTTAGAAAAACAAGACTAGTAGTAAAAACTCAGAGAGATTAAAGAGAAACATAACTAATAAAAGTGTCTCTATTAAACTGAGTTAATTTTTTCCAAAGCCACTATCTCAGTAAATTGCATATCTGAACTTTAGGAAGTCTTTTTCCCTCCTCTCCCATGAACCTTTCACCACATTACAGAGACAATGCTTCAGTCCTTGGCAAGAGATGCAGAAAGATGCAGAACTGATAGCAAAAAGTACTTGAGAACTAGCTCACAATATTTCAATTTGCAAAAGAAAGCCAATACTGTGAATGGGAGTTTAACAGTGTAAAGTAATATTTATGCATTTTCTCTGGCACAAAGATTGCACAAAAGAAGGGCAATAGTGCAAGTATTCAAGAATACTGAATGACTTCTGATTCAGTGGTACGAGACACTAAAGTGACCCAGTGATTTGAAAGCAAGAAACCAAAACAACAATCACCAGAAAGTCCCAAGAACAACTAGAAATATGTACACTCAGGCAAAAGTATCAGCCACCCAAACACAGAAAAAACCACTAACAAGACAGAAGCTTTGAAAGAGGCACCTCAACTCCCTGGATTGTGCAGGAGCACTGCACTCAAGTATCTGTTCCTTCAACAATATAGTATGCATGGTAAGGAGTCACATCAACAGTTTTGTTTGGAACAGATATTGTTGGTAGGGCAGAACAACATCTCAACTGAATAATGTCTACTACATGGGAACAGCTGAGAAGTCCACAACAGCACTGCAAGATACAAGTCTAAAACACATGATGTACAATGGGAAGCCTTTAAAGTAATGCAAAGGAAATATACATAATGCTAAAAAAGTTTTGCATATCCATGACATTAAGGCAAGACATCCAGGAGAAAAAAAAACCTAACATAGCAGCTTCTAATTTTCTAAGTATTAGAAAGACTGTCAGGGGACATTGAAAACTCCATTAGCAGAGTACATTAAAATCAACTGGACAGGTATCAAAAGCAACAATTAAAACTGGTCATGCCTTGGGCCCAAAAGACCCCTTTCAGGTCTAAATTGCTATGATCATAAGATAACATGAAGACATTTGACCACACAGCAACTTGATCTTAAAAAAGCAAATAGAGCTATTTCTTTGAAAAGTACACATACATCAAAAACATCCACTTGCCAGTTCCAAAGAAAATACTTGCAGATTTACCTGCAAACATTTAGTTTTTTCAACTGCAAAATTCAGTTTTGGTTTTTACTCCAAAGGATGGTTTTAATTTCTAGGTTATTAGCAGTACAAATTTGTTTCAGGATGTCAAGGCTCCCAAGGGGAAACGCTTATGAGTGAAGCACAGCAACAAAAACCTGCATATCACATTTTGGACAGAAACTTAATTGCACCAAGTTATTTTGGGCACCAAGCCAGAATGGAAGTGCATCCTGTACATTACTTTCTACCTTCTAACATTATCCATTTTTAGTAATTGCTTGGTGTGCGTTTTCATTAATCAAATTAATAAGCTCCTTGGCACACAAGCAGTCATACTCACAAAACACTGCCAGTAAACTAAGTACAACCTCTGGACATGAACAAACTGAACTTACAATGAAAGTCCTACCAAATCACTAAATGAGAGCCTTCAGTAACGGTTCCTACTGCTTCAGTGTCTCTAGTGGATAACAATAAACCTTTAACTATGCCTTAATTACTATGCAAAATACCTTTGCTTTTTACCAGAAGGAAGGTAAATGGAAAGGAGTGCCATTTAGCTCAGCTATTCAGCTATTATTTTCATATTAAAAATAATGACAACAGGTCTCTCACAGGTTAGTTTTTGTATTATTCAGCTGCACAAAGCAAATGCTTAGCCAGCTTTTATAAAGAAGTTAATGACAAGAAGCTTTCCCACTAAACAATATTTACAAGAGCATTATCACCACCTATAGAAAAAGTTAAAGTTAGATAAGGTAAGACTAAACAACAATTGTACAAACTTACTATGGAAGAAAAAAAACTGAATCAAATACTTATGAAGCTCTGGCCTGATCTATGAACAGCTCTATGCCCCATTAAACAACAACAAAGAACAATAAACAACAACAAAACAAATAAATGAATGAGATAAATTGCTAAAACATCTTCAAGATAAATTGTTAAAGCTTCATATTACATAACCAATATGATATATAGTTCCACCAAAAACAAAAACTATTATGTGAGAAAAAATGCAAGAAAATCCCACAAGTTTAAATACAAGCTCTGCAAATACCTTTAGGAAGAGCAATTGATTAGCCCCTGTGTTGTACTGAATAAAACAAAAAAATCTAATTTTAATTGGTCAACACAAGCGTGTTACATTGTTTGAACTGTGAAGAAAAGTTCAGCCAAAAGCAGTTGTGAGGAAAGCTTATACTTCTGCACTGCCTGTGTATTTTATACAGGGTTGAGGTTAGCTTTGCTTTTGCAGCAAAAAAACCCCCCTATATTAGCATGTAGTTTGGGATGATATAACTAGAAATAAACATTGCTGATACACTCAAGAAGATTTGAAGATATGGGAAAAAACACCTTGATTTACATCATACAAGTATTAAAGAAACTCTTATCCTGCAATACTCTGCAAATAGAAGCTCAGGAATGGCAAAACAGAGTCCTAAAGACAAGACCCCATAAGTCACAGAAGCCCACAGAACCTCTTTTCCAGAGTTGCATGGAAATTAGCCAGTACCACATCAGAAAGCTACACACCACCTTCATGTAGACTGGTTATTCGCAACTTCCAAGAATACATTTTTTTACTTGCAATTTTAAACGTAAACACCTAAGACTAGAAAGAGAATGAGATGAAACAAACCCAAGTCTTCAATCTCTTTCTCAACACAAGCACACAACTGCAATAAAGCAATATAAAATAAGTGGTTTCATTGCAGTCACTGCATTTTAGAGTCAAAATGAGAATGCTTGGGCTGCTGCTAGGGTCAAACACAAAACCCGGTATAATACTGAGGCTGTAGCAAAAGCAGAAGGTAGCCTAATTTGTCTTATCTGGACAGCAGGGGCAACCTAAGCATGTAAGTCCTTTAAATACATCCTGAAGCCTGAACACCATGTCCTACCAGCTTTTGCTTTCAAACATTAAAACAACATTTCCATCTTGTTAAGGTGTACGCCCTACAACCATCCCTAATGACCTAGGCACTATTCACACATTACCTCTTGTTTTAAAATACATAGGGCAACCAAGCTGACATCCCCCAAAAGATAAGTGCAGGGAGATTTATGTAACTCATGTTTTGTATATAGATTTGTATGCCTTCAGGACAGTATTTATTGCCCTGAAAGGAGTACACAGTGCAGAATTTTGTGCTTGTAGGTTACTTGCTTTTTTGAATAATTTGAATTTCTGTGAATTAATCTTAAAAAAAAAAATACAAACAGGAGCAAAATCTCCAGAAAGGCTCCCAGTCTGACTGAATACCTAGTGATCTCTGAGAAAGATGAAAGAGTTAAAGACAACTCGCAAATTCTGCCAGAGGCCTTTTCCACTGTACACACTTCTCATGCCTTAAGCTCTACAATGAACAGACATTGGGAGATATCTACAAAGAGTTTGAATTGAAGTAGAAACAAGCACGAGCATGAAACAAGCAAAGGTACCAGTAACAGACAAAATCAAAATTTTTAAGAAGTTGAATAACTGTTTTCATATTTAGCTAACATAGTGCATCAGTGTACCTACACTGCCCATCTGATTTAAGTTAGGCTAGGAACATTTTTTCAGTCATAAGTCATTCAAAGACAGATTTCCCCACGTGTATACACCTTTAGCTATATATTAAAATCTACCCTAAAATTAAAAGAGTCTTACTTTAAGAACATCTTACAGGGTTAAACAACCTGAACATATAAAACAGGTTTTGTAGTCTAGTTAGCTTTATAATAAATAAATTAATCCATATCACTAATATCTGGAGTTGCTCCATGAAGTAAAAAAGGCTTCACAGCAACAGAAGAGGTTGACATACTGCACTGACCATCTTTCACTCATTAGGAGATATGCACCACATGCTATTTAATTATTCATTAAATCTCTTACTTAGACAAGACTGTCCAGTTATTTTTCTTAAGCCAATGTTCACTTATTTGCTGTAACACTGATTAGAATGAAAGCCAGAAGGCAACAGGCACATTTCTCTCTCAGTTTCTCTACTCTTAAGTTTACTGCATTTCCAGAAATTTTTTTCAAGTTCTACCATGGCCTCTCATGATAACAGTGATTGGTGAATACAGCCTTAGAGTTGCTCAGTCTATTTTAAATATGTTTGTACAATTGCATGGGCACCTCGAATACCTGCTGTCAGAGAACATGAAAAAGCATGGTAGTTTCTACAAATTAGAGTTAAAAAGGTAAAACATAACATGTAGCTTCTCCTTAAATTATCACCAAATCTTAGGAAGTTAAGCATCACTGTGCAATTAAATGCAATCTCCAACTATATAAATCAAGCTTTAGTCAGAATTAGGGACATATTTTCCATACTCACAAATGCAAACAAAACTTTTCCATTTTTAAATATGTGCACTACCAAAACTTCAGAGTTCACATTTTAAATGTGCCCCTCAATACAAGTACATCAGTAAGAGTTAATTGTTTCCTTTGCATTTAGAAAGAAAATATTTGTCTGACTGTACTTGCTCAGAGGCTCTCCTTCAGATGTCCCTGGCTGTTCAGGACTGTCCACGGTCTCCTCCACAGATGCAGTGTGTCCCTTCCCACTAAAACAGTAAGCAAACAAAACAAAACACACACAAAAAACCAAAATAAAACCACAGCCTTCATGAGTCACACTGGCAAAAAACCAAATCAATACATTACTTTTACCAGAATTCCTTGGTAGAGAAGAAAAAAAAAAAAAAAAAAAAAAAAAAGGGAAAACTCTTTGATCATAAGCAGAAAGATACACTAAGCGATTAGTTGAGCTACTAACAAAATGAGTGTATTTTAGGAATATTGGGAAAAAAAATTATTCCATTAAAAAAAATTAAAGCATTTATGAAGATGAAAGAATTCAATCATGAACACCAGTCATGATTAGTATTAGTTGTCAGTATAACACTGACATTTGGGGTTGCCTTTTTGCTTCTTTTAAAAAATTAAAGTTCGTATTTTCTGTTACATGGACTTTAATTCACTGTCAAATGACAGCAGGAACTTATTTTCATTCCAGTAGCAGGCATACATATTTAAAACTAACACCTTATGCATGATTAGCACAATTGGGACACAGACATGCTTTTAGAATCATTCAGATAGCTTTAATTTTATGTCACTTCTACCACATCACAGGAAAACATTGGTATAAATTCTGATGCTATTGAACTGGAAAAAAACCCAAAAAAACAAACCTTAACTAGCAAGAAAATATGTAAGCGCCAATAAAAGGGCCAATAAATACCTAGTAAGTTTATTAAGCCTTCCCTAATATCCTACAGAAGATAGTTTTCTGCTAGCTACTTTTGTACTATCAGTTCAGAATAACGTTAACCTAGCTGATCCTTTGAAAAGCCAGGGTACCTAACCAATCTAGTCTTAATATGAAATTCTGTAGGAGGGAGAGAAGTTAATACAATCTTTCAGAAGAATTTGGAACATCAAGACCAAAAAATTATTACACATCGAGGCTCTATTTTTCAAACTTTTAGCATGATTGTCTGAATCCATTAAGTTTTAAAATTAAATTTTTATTTTAAAATAAAATCTAATTTTAAAACAATTTTGTCAATCAATGTGTGTGTGGCCAAATATATTTGCTATAAGTTCAAGGCACTGCTTTTTCTCCATCATATATCAGCCTTCAATTAAAGAGTTCTAGATGTGTATGACAACAAAACTACTTTCCAGCTACTGGAAAGAGCAATGTACTGCTAGGTACAAAGAATGGGCAAAAGCCAACATAATCAGTGAGGTTTTACAAATCTGAACACAAATCAATACCACTGAGATATACTGACCAAGAGATATACAGAACTGAATGGAAAAGTCCTGATTTTTTTATCTCAAAGTGGCCATTAATCACATTATGCTACTGATTTTTCTAGCACTTTAAAATATACTTCCATGGTACAATCAACTCAATATTATCTTCAGAACCACACTGAAATGTACTACAGTTTTGCAGTTTAGAAATTATCCATAAAACTCCAGAAAATAAACTGGACTTTAAGCCCAGTAACAGAGCCTGAATCTTAGAATTAGCATTTTGGAGCAATTCCATTAAATACCAGAGTCCCATTTACTTGACTGTTGAGAAAAGCAATAACTTATTTCCATTAAAAGACAACTCAGCTCCAGTCAAAAGATTCTGGCTGTCTTAAGTGAACAAACATCATCATGCCTTTGCTTCCATTTAATCTTATCATCATGAAGGAGCCAAGTTAAAAAAATATGACATATTTGTATCATCTTTATGAATGATATGACATACCTTGTATCATCTTTTGTTCTGTAGTTGCGAGCTCCACCTCCACCCTTTTTGTCATCTGCTTTCACACCTCTAGAGAGGAAAACAATTCTATGAGTTTAAGAGGTTTTTTTCCTTTTTTTTATGACCTCAAACTAAAACCAGTATTGACTTTTTTCCAGCCAACCTGGATATGGAAGGGAACAGAATGCCTAAAAGACAGTACTGCAGTGCTGACTATTATTTACTTGTATACCAAGTAAGAAACAGCACACAGAACACTTACGTTTTATCATTCCCACTTTGTCTTTCAGGTTCACGTTTTCTTCTTTGGTCAAACCCATCAAAACTTCCATTTAATCCACCACCTCTTCCTCTACCTCTCATTCTGCCTCTTCCCCCACCACGTCCTCTTATTGGTCTTTCATAGTCTAATCTTTCCACTGGTCTAAGGAGAAGGTAATTAGTCAGACTTTTGTTTTTATAGAACAGTTAACAAGAAGAAAAAAAAAAATCATACTGTTATGTTTGTGCACCTATGGGACACATCAGTGTATAACAGCTACAGCACAATTTATAGAGTGCATCTTTATACAGCACACACTACAGCTGTTTTGGTTTTGTCATTGAAAATGGACAAACTGAACACTAGAGGAATTATGACAGCACACAGAAACAGAAAGATCAGCAGTCATCAACACTGAAAACATAACAGAAACTAAAGAAAACATTATAAAATTGTCAAATCTTCACAACTTTATCATGCAATAGCTCCACCATCTACACCCATATTTATATGCAACTGCTAAAAATTTCAGACAACTTGTTAAATATCAACTACTGTGGTATCAAGTAAGAACAGCCACATTCTGAAGCATTAAGGGTTTAGGTGGAATCTTCTAGTACTTATGAAGAAAGCAAAATCAATATGCATTCACTGTCCAAGCAGCAAATTCTAGTTTGCAGCCTCCTACATATTCTGCAAAGCCTGGTATGTGAGCTCAGAAACTAACATTATAAATATGCTGCTGACTAGGGGGTACATTTTCAGATCTTTACATTTTTCAGCTTTTCCTTGTATTTTTAACATTCAACAAAAATGTACCAATGTACATGTACCAATTGAACCCCCAAGGAAGCTGAAACTACAGCTCTTACAGGCATGAAGTAAGCAGTCTTGCAAAAACCTGCACGCTAATATCCTCTGTGAGGGACCTTAGTTCTCTCTGCAGGATACATACCGTTCCACTGAGAATTCCACTTCTCTTTGTGCTCCACAGGGACGGTATTCCCTGAAAGATGGTCTCCATTCAGTTTTGTCCTGTTTCCCCTCTGTGCCTCTGTTACTGAACCCTTGTTGTTCTCCCTGCCTGGGTACTCGCTTTGGGCCTACACAAACACACGCAGGGATTACTGACAGCTCAATAGTAACACAATCGCAGTTACCAAACTACTGACTGAAGTGAGTTGGCTACACATCCAAACCCAAGTCCACCAGAATATTAAAAGTCCTTATAGCTAATGTTGCCAGACACTGTTTCTTTGAAAGACATGTACTTATTTTACCTTCTGTATTGATGAACCTGCAAAATACTATGGGTTTTGACACAGTCAGAGATTTCCAGAAAAGATAGTCTAAAGAAAAATCTCATTTTGCTCACAAGTCACAGAAAAGGAGAACAAAAACTGTTTCTCCTGTTTTCAAGGATCATGAAAGAGTAGTATACAGGATGAGGTGGAAAAGCTTCAATGGAAAAGACTAATTTAAAGCAGCAGAAGCAATGCAGGTGAAGGAAAGAGAAGGATCCCTCACAGATCGGTGTTGATTGTCAAACAGCACACCTCCTGCCAGATGAGCTCACTTTAGAAGTCTAAGCCTCCAGGTCCTCTAAGCTCATGGCCACAGTATCAAACAACTAGCACAGGGTCACCTCCTCACACTGCTGCTCTGTGGAGGAAAGCACCATTCAACTACACTAAAGGTCACTGAGTTCAGCTGGCAGAGACCCAAACAGTAAGTAGAAAGACTTCAACACCACTAGTTCTAGAACATAAAGATATTCCAAGATAAAATATACTAAAGATTTTAGACTTTTGTTCAGCCATTGTTGGGGTTGAGGAGGATTGGGTTGGGCAGAATGAATGGAAAGAAAATGTGAACTGTAATAGAAAAAACTGAAGTTTTACACTCAACCTGTATACATCTAGCAGAAGATTAAGGTTCTTTATGTGCTTCCTTTCCCATTTTCCCAAATTCTGTTCTCTATCGGAGACTAAGTTCTCCAGAAGCAAGCAAGCCATTTTGTCTGCTAGCCTCTATGTTTAAACGAACATCTTTTTCAGCCAGCCAACAGTGTAAGTCATTCAAGTAAGGAACAGGAAGATTGGTCTCAAACAAAACTGAGCTACTGTTTCCACAAGAAGTATTGAGCTACTGTGGAATGCTGAGCAGATTACCAAACTCAGGTTAGTGGACAAGTCCTGGCTACCTCTGTTGCTAGAACACAGAGAGAAAAAAAGGCTATTTTATGTCACAATATTAATATGTAAATTAATTCATAGCCCCAGAGAAATGTTCATACAAGAAGATTTTTGATCAAAGCTTGGGTGGTGAGGATGAAGTCTAATACCATTTGTAAAGAGAAACTTCAAAGAACTATCCACTTGGTGAATGTGGTAAATATAGCTTTTTGTTATGCAGTAAGAACAGTCATATTTGTAGAGAGAAGATCATTTCATATGTGGTGCAGAAGCAACTCCAGCTTTGCTTTTCTTTAAACTACAAACCACTTGACATAATACATTCCAGTAACGCTCTCTTCTCAGGTTTGGAGTTACTCAACCCTTAGAGCACCGAGCATATTTGCACTACCCAAATTATGATGCCATCTCTGCATAAAGGACAACTTTTGAAATCAGTTTCTGAGTAAGCTTTTCAAATCAGGACAGTTTAACTCAAAGCAAAATTATAGAAAATACAGAACAGTACATGCTGTTGGGGAAACACCTGTTCTACACACATCTCAACTAGACTACCAACCATGTAAGTGCTAACTCTAAATTGGAATTTTGCTGTGGAAAAAATTACTACTAATTTCTGGCCTCATTTTAGTTCTTTTGTTTAGATCTGAATGCACAACAATGCATAGAAGACTATGGTGTTATTTTTGATCCTCTCTCATTGGCTATCAGAACCATCAGTTATTCTAAAAAGATTCCTTTGGCAAGAATGTAGTAGTAGAAGACACCCACCCCTACATACTTAGTATTAACCTCAATTTCACCTTGAGATTCAAAGAGCTCCTTCAAACTAGCAAAACAATGCCAAAAAAGAAGACACAGAAGTCATTTTAAAAATATAGTGTCTCGTTTTATTACCCAGTACTTCTTAGAAGTAATGCAAAACAAATCTTGCCAGACATGTATATTACATGTCAGCAGCACTGAGTGTACTGGATGGAGCCGTCTGTTCTACTCCAATTTGAGTGCCGGGCTATATCGTTTTAATTCTAACAGGTGGCTCCATTTACTGCAGATGGATTTTAAACACTACAAAGACTTTTATACAGGTAGTAAGCACCACAAAAACATCTTTAATTGGTTTGACAGACATGAAGTAGTGGATTAAGGCAGACCTGTATCTCTCTGGTAGGACAAGTCACCCTTAGGGCAAAAGTTCATGTGACCTGCTTGTGAATCAGTTCAAAAAGACAGCCCGACTTTCAGCTCTGCATGTAAGTGCAAACCAGACTGGAGCTAGGCAGCAGTGATAGCACAAGTTCTACAAAAAAGAGGCCTCTGCTACATATACGTCCTAACACAGACTCAGTTTAATTCACAGAGCTCAAGGCCCACCTACCCTACAGGTGACAATAAAACAAGGTAACAAAACCAAGACAAAAGATGAGCCATCTTGTATATCACTTACAAAGAACTGGGGTACACTTTGAATGCTTGCTAATAACTACCTCCCCAAATACACCCCAATTTTGTCTGCTTGCTTGTCTGTATAATCTGGTAAGCAGGTTTTCTTCAAAACCACACAAAAAAAAAGGCTTTGGAGTTCTGTGGATCATCTCCTTGAGGCCTTATAAACACAATTCTGAAAACTGAAGATCACTCTTTCCTAGCTACCTAGTTTAGCCTCTCTTTAAATTGGTTTTTCTGTGTCTTATAATTACATCTTCAATCTGTATTCACCTGAATGTGTCCCACCATTCCCCACTTCACCACAGCTTTCCTGGATCAGCCCAGTCTGTTGGCTAAGCTGCCCACTTTCTAAACTGAGGAATCAGAACAGAGATCTGCGTTTCAACAGACCTAGCTTTTTTTCGTTCCCCCCCAGAAGAAGCAGCTGAGCTATTATTAGCAGGAAAGAATCTGTAAATACCAAAATTACCAGGTACTAGAACTAGACAGTGCTAAAGAAAAAAAGCTCAGTTTTATGAGATATTGTTAAAACTCTAAATCATACAGAGCAAATATACTTAAGTAGTTTACACTTTCCCCACAATAATACTCCATTATTAGTTTTGCTAACTCTGCAGCACTTAGATAAGAAGACTTTCTAGAGAGATGTTTTTAATAAGTATATACACAGAACTTGCTACTGGAAAAGCAGAACTTGTATTTTTATAACCTGTATTGCTTGTTTTCCCAGACACTGGGTATCTGTTTATTAACAGATGGATATGAAACAATGCAGCAAAATCTAGCTGCCTTTCCAGTGTTGCTGTCTAGCTCCCAGCAAGTTCCTCCATCAGTATAATCTATCCTCTACATATCTCTCTAGGTTTTGTGGCTCTTCACTAGCCTGTACTGAGAGAGTGTGCTCTCACCTTCTTTACATTTTTCATTTAAAACTTTTTTTTGTAGAAAGCCTTGATTTCAGACAAACACCACAAGGAGTCCAGCTTGCAACTGCTATCAGTGACTATAAGCTACAGTAGAAACCGCGTTGTTTCTCCCACTTCGTAATGTAAGGATGTGACAGTGGTAGCTGGCATGCAATTCATAAGCTGAGAGAGGTAACTGCTTACCAAGAACAAATGGGAAAAAGAGTGTTTGTGAAAGAGTCACATTGACAGAAGACTCCCCAGCATAAAAAGAGACTTCTTACAGATCTGAGATATCGAATTACATTTGTTGCCTGAATGGATAGACCTAGTCATTATGGGAAGGAGTGTGATCACCAAAAACATACAAAAGGAGCTAAAAATAGCAAAATTGCAGAAAACCACAGTCACAAAGCTGTGGAGTAAAATCAGTATTAATCCAGAACTGAGGCTTGGGTTTAATCTATAAATAAAACAAAAAACAAATAAACAAAAAAAAAACCAAAAAACCCCACCCAAACAAGAAAGAAAACCAAAACAACAAGATAAACCAACAACCACCACCCCCCCACCCCGCAAAAACAAAAACAAACAAACAAACAAAAAAAAAAAAACACGGAGGAAACCCCTTCCAGCTTTGAAAGACGATCCTTCTTCCCAGTATACTTCAAAAGGACAAAGTAGACCCAAAATAGGTCCAAGACTATGGTAGAAATACCTTGCCCAAACAAAGCAAAAATGAAAACAATTGTGAGGAATTTTTTAGGCACAGTAGGGTACTGAAGACCCCAACTACCAAGGCTAGGGCAGTTAAGTAAACCATTGAAAGAAATTATCAAGGCATAGAAAGTGGAATTGGAGTCTGGAGAAAGAAAGGATATTCCAAGCTGTAAAAGGAATACTAGTTATAGATCACATAACTACATAACTCAAAGTAGAACTGATTCTTAAACAATATGATAGACAAACATTGTCCACTCAAAACACAAATTGTTCTGAATTAAAAATAATTAATTTAATTATTACTACTTTTAAAGAATGTGATATTTTGAATTCAACAACTCTACTATTTGCTCCTAACAGTGAGCTGCATCATGATTGCTATGACGTGTTTCACTCCAGCCACCTATGGGCAGATCTGCAAAATCAGCCTCTAGAGACCTTAGATCTTATACTGTTGCACGGTGGATCTCCATACTATGCAAATGGAAAACAACACAGAAACTATGCATTGGTGAGAAACTTTGAGGCACTTGAAACTGAACCTCTACAACCGCTGCTGATGACCCAAGAGGCCAGATTAATTGCATTAGCGAAAGCAGCCTTGTGGTGACATGACTAGCAAGTGCCACTATTTATACTGAGTCTAAATAAGCTTTTGGAGTGTCATGCAATGGGTATGCTATGGAAAAAATTAGAGTTTTTGCTTCAGCAGAAAATAATATTTCTGCAGATAATATTCCTGTAGTACACTCTTGAGCTCATACAAAATGCTCCAACAAAATTAAAAAAAAAAAAACCTCAAACTTGTAGTCAGATAGGTTTATAATGGCC